CATAATGCTCATTACAGATGAATGTGGAGGCTGATTCATTCTGACTGGCTGTGTGGCTCCCTGCTGCTCAGGCCGCTGTCACTGTCTGACTGTCACCAGGTCCTCGGCATCGTATTGATTGGCTCAGCGTTAAATCAAACACATCATTGGACTACATGTTTTATTTATCTTGTCTTTTGTTAAAAAACATAATTGGGGTGCAAAAGATGAAGTTTATATAATTTATCTATATGAAATACGTCACTTCACAGCCCTAAATTAGATTTAATGCAACGCTACCTGCTTTTCTTCAGCAGCAATTTGCAAAAAAATACTCCAGAAGTAAAGTAGACCCTTTTGCAGTAACAATAACTTTCAGCTAATTGGACGACGAGTTAAAGCAGACGACACATGAAGTCGTATGGCGGTTACACTGAGCACAACGATGGCTGTACAGTCACACAAACGGCTGGATGCTGTGGAGCATGTGCAGTTCACTGACTCCAGCATCCTCCTCTGACATGAGTCTGTCTCTGGCAGCGACACCAGAAGGAGTTTCCTCCTTTTTTATGTTAAAATATGTGATTCAAATGATGCAAACCTGTGATTTCCTATAAACTGTTTTTAAGGCACAAACTGGTGTTGATGAATAAAACATGACTCCATACATCAGCTTATTAATATTTTAACATGTGCACAACAAAAACTATATTTTTATTCTTTGAAGGACAAACAGAGCATCTAAATGACCTCAGATGTGTTTTCTTTGCTGGGATGTCTTGTTATTATCAGATGACATCAACACTGAGGATAAATCAGTGCTGATGCTGTGCTGATAATTCTGAGCCTGTTTATGAATCTTATCTAATATTGGCGACGCTGGAACAAAGTTTTTTTTATTAACCAGCTCTTTAAAACCATTTCGGTTCATTAATGCTTCATTTAAGTCGTCCAGTAGTCAGTACCTCATTTGAATTTAACTGCAGGTGTAAAATCTGTGAACTAAACCCTCCAGAAACCCTCACGGTGGAAAAAGAGATGCAGCGTCTACGATGCATAAAAGCTTGTGTTTACCAGACTTCCCTTTTTCTTTTTTTTTTATTTCTCTCACGCTGGTGGATGTCCATTAGAATTACTGACAGACAGCACAGCGCCTCCGCCTGCACGGTGACTCTTTTACGGGGCGTTTAAATCACCGACTGTTGTGGCGCATGAGTGTAAAATCTCTGCCGGGGCTCGTGAGGTTCACGCACCTCCAAGTGTTTTCATGTACAGGAAAAGGAAGAGGCTAAACCACACAGACAGATATCCGCAGCGTTAGCCGTTGAAACGAGCTCTGGTGTTTTCAGCTCCATAAGTCTGCAGTTATTATCATAATAATGTCTTGTTTCAAGTCGCCCTGAAATGCCTCTAGCACGGCAGCACCGATTAAGAAATCTTAATTAAGCTTTTGTAGATTCTCCTTCATCAGACCTTGCCTCTTTTTGTACAAAAAAANAGTCTGTTTTTAAGAGACACCACTTCCGCCTAAATGAACAAGGTGTGTGTGTGTGTGTGTGTGTGTGTGTGTGTGTGTGTGTGTGTGTGTGTGTGTAGCAGGGAGAAAGCAAGACAGAAGGAAACCAAAGCCTATGTGTCAGTGCGAGCTTTCAAGTTCCCAGTGCTTCATCTCTCTCGGGGCATTTAAGTATTAGATATCCCTCTGCTGATCCTCTTGTTGTCACAGCAATTTCCCCAGTTGCTCATCATACTTAAACTCCTCTCTCATTTCCATTATAATCATCCTATACAACGCTCACCTGAGATTTTTTACTGAAAGACAATTTGGTTTCACCTCTGAAGCTGCACAGCTTGACACCGAATGTGTAACGGATATAACAGTTTGAGCCGGTGAGAAGAAAAGTGCCACGTCTTCGCGGCGCACAGCGGTGAGGAAACGGTCCTGTTGGGAGCCCGCAGATCTTCTGTTGAGCAGCGGCTGTTATTGTGATGTGTAAGAGTCAAATCAAATTAACAGCTGAGCTCACGCGAGGTATTACTAAGTGGCAACATCAGTGGGGAATAATGCCGCTGGAATTGGTTGATTAAATGACTGTGGATGTGATGAAGAACACAGAGGAGCGTTATTGCAGCGTTGCCTCATTCATTCATGTTTACAGGGAGCAACTGTCTTAATTAAGCATTGTGAGGGCTGATAGATGGGCCGGGCTCACTGTCCGTGGGAGACGCATTGATTTCACATTGCATACCCAGATAGTCTCCGCTTTAGGTATTAAAGTGTTGCTGTGGTCGCAGCAGCAGCAGCAGCAGCAGCAGCAGCAGCAGCAGCCCTGTAGTTGTGAGACACACAGTTGCACAGCAGATGTATGAAGCCTCTTTACGTGTCACATGCGAAGCTTTATAAGTGTGTGACTGTGACAAAACAAATGGTGGCAGACAGACCCAGTTTGTTAGCTTTGTACACATGTGCCTCAGTTAGGCTTACAGCGAAATTATAATTAGTCTGGAAGTAGTGCGCAGCAGCATCTCAGTGAGAATTCAAACAGCCGCTGCTGTGTACTTTCAACATCTGCTTCTCTCAGTGATCCCTACAACCGGGCCTGGGGAAAGCCGGCACTACTAATTACTAATAAAACTAGCTAAGCTTATTTCTGTGAATTATTAAAGCTTTATCTGAAGTGGACCAGGAATCGCTCCTGAAGCTAAACGGCTTTGAGGTACGAGGAGGGATCACAGTTCATTGCTGCGTCTGGATTAGCACTTAGCACTATACTTAGCATAGTTTAGCACGCTGCTATAGAGGACGCTTTTATTGTCGGGCGCCATTACACGCCAAAGTTCAAACACACACAAGTGCACGTCTGATCTGAGACCAGCTGGTAAACCCAGAGGATTTTCACCACGTTGTAATCTGAACTTTAAATATTAAAAGCATCACGCCAACATGTTTATTAGTGCGTCTGTGTGGAGTTTAGTCACATATAAATCACATACAAGAGAAGGAAACGACTTCAGAGCAACCGTTTCTCTTTCATCCTGGTTATCAGGATGCCTGAGGAACACGTTCACAACAATGTCTGTGTAGCTTTTTTTTAATTAGTAGGAAGAAGTTCCAAAGAAGAAATAGTGTTTATGGATTATATGGAGAAGCAACTGTGGAAATTAGATTTTTTTTAATGCTAACATCCATCAGTTTAGTGAAATTTCAATCAATCTATTTCAAAACAAACCTACATGGCCAGAGACTGTTGAGGAAAAGTAAGAATTGTCATTTATATTTTATCTATATACGTAAAGACAGTTTCTAAGTTGATGACTCAGTTATGTGCTGAACCACCATCATTCTGAACGCCAGGTTTTAGGTTGACAAACATTTAATTAATCAAGTTGCTCCAACTCCATTATCTCCACTTGTTTTTATTCATTTAACAACTTTTTTTTTTTCTGACTGCAGTATTTAAATCTCGAAAACGACCAATTAGAGTTTAAATTATGCTCAATATCAAGTTGATGCAATTACCAGTGTTATTAAATCAGCCCAACTCCCTGAAATTAGGTTTGCAACTTAAAGCTTTTATGCATCTAAGTGTTGGGAATGTTTCCCCTGAAGCAGCGACATCCAGATCACCACATACAGGACGTTAGGTCCGATTGCTTTTCCATGTCAGAGGATTTCAGTGTTATTGAAGCTACAACCGCTGTGCTCCATTTGTGAGCCGCTCACAGGAGCTCGCTCAGTTTTGAGACTCTATTGATTGTGCTGCTGTTTGATGGCTGCAAACTGTTTTAATAAAGTCAAAGAAAAGGAATAAAAAGTGTCCGGTCAGCATGAGGCAGCGACGCCTCATAATAGAGTCGGAGGATGTGTGAGCCGTTAATGCTTTGATGCTGAAGGAGACGGAGCTGAGCTCCAGCTGGGCCTGCTTAAGATGTCAGGAGGCAGAGTTTAGCTCCGGTGGGCTCCGGCACAGTTTAACCCCTGGATATCGATAACACTCGTCTAGTTAACACAGAGTTAACCCCGCAGCCGATTAGCTCAGCTTAGCATAAAGACTTGAAACAGGGAGGACGAGGCCTTCACTGGAGGCAGCATGCTGAGCTTATAGAGGTTCAGATTGTATTTAGACCTGCCCAGGCTGGATAGTTAGTGATGCTAAGCTAAGCTAACCATCTGCTGGTGTTACTGAGCTTCTCATCTCTCAGTAACAAAACGTATATCTGCTTTTTTTTCCTGTGAAGAACCCTCATTCATTTTAATGCCCTGTACAGGTATTTGACAAACTTAGCGTCTGCATTTGTGTTGTAGGTGTGATACAATAAAATCTATTAGTGGTTTTGAGAAGCAGTTAAATCAGCTGAATAATTCTGTTCAAAGCATTTACGGGTCTCAGGGATGGACGCTGGAATCAAACCTTATCATTTTGATTCTTCAGTTTTAAATTTGGATTTTTGTTTTTTAATTGTTTTCCAACAATCCAATAAATGAACTTTTCTAAACCATGTCCTGGCTGCCCTGAACTTTTTATTTTCTATAAACGGTCCCATTTCCAAGGACTGAGCCTCCGTTAGTCGTCTGATTGAAGTGCTTTTTGTCAAGCTTTAGTTTACCAAATATATATTTTCTCCAAGGATACCTTTGCAGTAATTCAGCATTTCTTAAAGTAAATCCAACAGCTGCTGTTATAAGTGGTGACTCTTGGTTTTGTGTTTTTTCTCCATCCTTCGTGCTCAGTTGCTGCTGTGGCCATTTTACAGAGCAGGAACTGAGCTGGCTGTCAGTGTGGGAACGGCGGTTATTTGTTGTAATGATGTTTTCTGCTAGAACTGTTCAGATATCACAACATCTACTAATATGTCTTATTATTTACTACAGCGATGAAATGCATTGCTGTTTCAGTGTGTGTTAGTCATTTCCTTGGACCAGTCAGTAAGAAACTTAAAGAATAACTGAGGTGTTGTAATTATTGTGCCACATTAATTAATTTTGCGTTTCTGTCTGCCTGTGCTCTGCTCCCATAAAGGTCACATGCAGGAAAGTGCACGGAGGCGCCACGGAGCTCATAGAGTGGAGGGACAGCGGTAATGAACACAAGATGTCTCCCACGGGGGCCAGTCCACGGATCCTCAACCCCCTGCGTTTGTTTGCCAAGGGCTCCCCCGAGTTCAAGAGCAACATAAGGGAGATGACATATTTACAGAACATGGAGGACTTTTGGGACTGGTTATCTAACCAGACAGATGTTCAGGGCGCACAGGCCAGAACTAAACGCAGACCCATCGTCAAGACCGGCAAGTTCAAAAAGATGTTTGGGTGGGGGGACTTCCACTCCAACATCAAGACGGTCAAACTCAACCTGCTGATCACGGGCAAGATCGTGGACCACGGGAACGGCACGTTTAGCGTTTACTTCCGCCACAACTCCACGGGCCTGGGGAACGTGTCGGTCAGCCTGGTGCCGCCCTCCAAGGTGGTGGAGTTTGAGATCGCCCAGCAGTCCACACTGGAGACCAAAGACACCAAATCGTTCAACTGTCGCATCGAGTACGAGAAGACGGACCGCAACAAGAAGACGGCGCTGTGCGGCTTTGACCCGTCCAAGGTGTGCTACCAGGAGCAGACGCAGAGCCACGTGTCATGGCTGTGCTCGAAACCCTTCAAAGTCATATGCATCTATATAGCCTTTTACAGTGTAGACTATAAACTGGTGCAGAAGGTTTGCCCCGACTACAACTACCACAGCGACACACCGTACTCCTCCACCGGATGACCTAGCAGTCGTTAGCACACGTCCGCCTTTTGTTTTGTCTTTAAGTAACGTAAATGTCACGCTCTTAACTCCTCGTCCCCAAACACCTAAATACCTGCTGAGAGCACAGCTGACAAAGGGACACACACTGGAGGCAACACTTTTGTATTTGCTGCACGACGATACCGATTTACCAGTTCAGGTAGTTAGGTGTCCAGGGACTGGGTTTTAGGAGTTGACTTGGGATTCGGAGGAAGCTACCAACCCTGGGTGAATCCCCCCACCTCACAACAGCACATGTTCTCCGTACAGCCCTGGTATAATTAGTATGTTATCCAGATGTTTCCTTAAAGGCTAGGCCACAGGCAAGGAGCCTCCCCAGCTGGAAGTGCACAGCAGACTTCTGCAAGCGCTGCACCGATGCTAACGCTCTCCAACCATTTCCTCACCTTGTTTAAACAGTTCTGGGATGAAGCATGACGAGACGATGAATCGTGTTAATAATTACAATAGCCAAACATTTGAACAGTTATTCAGCAGAGCATAAAATTAAAGATTTCCCACTTGGAGCGTCACCACGTTTTAACAGATAAAAATGATCCGTTCATTGTCTTTGAAGTGGAGCTGACATCCATCTGTACCTGTTAGCACAACGCAGACAGGACAGCGTCTATTATTTCTGATTAGTTTGATCAATGGGCATTTCTTCAACAATTAATAAGGACTTGCATCCAATATTTTATCTCTGTTATCTTTCTCTTGTAGGGACTGAAACAAAGCCAAGTGATTGATTCAACCTAATTTAAAGTGCCCGCGACAAAATAAATTGATCCGACAAATCTGAAGCGAAAGAAACCCGAGAGCGTGCTCGTAAATTATTCCCCACACACACATATGTAGGTACCCATCCATGCACACCGTGGCTGCTGCCTTGTTTGTTCCTTAGAATGTGTTGGTTTTCTGCTACAATCATCATAAGGCATGTGTATGCTAAACCACTCTGAAATCCAACATCTGTGTTTGCAGGATGCACTTTGAGGCATCAGCCTGCCGAGCGAGCCCCGCAGTGGATTAATGTGTCAGGAGAGGTGGGGAGGGGGAAGCAATAATTGCAGGACAGGTGGATTTAGTGAGTCTGGCAGACAATTATCAGCACTTTGTCATGGTCCCGCCACCAGCCCTGACATTACCTGTCTTTAATAGGCTTTAATTAGCCTGGGAAATTTCATTTACCAAGAGTGGAGAAACTGAAGGAGAGAGAGCGAGAAAAAAAAAAAAGGCAAAAGTACAGAATCCTTCTGCAATTTTAATGAGAAGAGGGACTAAATTTGAAATATCAGACATTTCCCAAATGTACAGCAGGCTTAAGTTGACTGACTTTTGTGTAAAAGTGGATAACATCCAGCCTGGTAGTACACGGTGTAATGTGCTTTGACTTAGCAATCACTAAAAGTGTTGAAAAGGTTTCGCTGACGACTGTCTACACATTAAACGCCGTCGGTTGTGTTGTTTGCACATATCCAGGGACGTGGCAATCCTTCCTGTCAGTGTTATTTTACCTGTTGTATCTCACGTCTTTCCCCATCAGCTGTAAATGATCCTGTCACCTTCTACACGTGGAGTCAGGTGTATGATAAGGAACCAGACCAGAGTTGATCTATGTTAATGTTTTAGTTCTGCTCCTTTGTGCAAATGCTGTGTATTAACGTGTAACTCTAAAACTAAACGTGTTTAATTATGGCTTCAGAGTAAATGATGTCAGTTTATTCTAATTTTTTTTCCAGAGAAATATATCAATGAGTATGCTGTTCCTTATTTTTTGGTGTTTGTTCAGAAATATCATGTAGATAAATGTCATATTTATTGCTTCTAGTCATAGATTGCTTTGATTTCCATTCTTGTAGTTGCAGGTTGCACCTCCTCTGATTTTCTGCTTGCCTAATCTTGTTTGAACAGTTTCCCCTGTAAAATAGGCATAAGAGCACTTCTGTGTGTATAGTGTAATTACAGATGTTAATTTTGGAACATTTGATTTCATAGGGAGTTCATTTTGTTAAAATGTACCTGTAAAGATCAATTTAGGTTTTTATGGCATTAAACCTTATTTGAACTTGGCTCACAGCACATTGTCACACTGATTCAGCTCCAGACTGCTGCTGCTCGCACTTGTCTCGTTTCATTCCTGAAAGGACGTCTCAACAGGATAAACACAGCATTTTAAGAGGTACATTTCAGTGTAGCTTTTTAATGGGCAATAAATCTGTGTCCACAGGCGTGGATGATACCAGAGGTACACCTTAGGGAGCACATCCATTTTGCGGTGGCCATCAGGGACAGGGGTCTTTTCATTCGCTTCCATTACTCTTATCTGATCAGGGTGAGGCACCTACTCCTTCGGCATCAAGTCACACCGGCTCTCCCGCTGCACACATCCAAATCCCTGGAAAACTATGAGGAATGCCAACATTCATTTCACTCTCCATCGTTCACTGGTGATTATTAGACAGCCCAGTGATAAATAACGTTCACTCTGTGAGCCGCTGGACCACGTCGCACCGCGATCTGTCAATTAGCAGCAATAATTTACACACGTATGTCAATTCCTATAATACATTTAGAAAAGCTGCATTTATCTCTGCAGGAAACGTCCAGTTTTAGGGAGTGAAGTCCTCGTGTTCAAACTACAGCAATAATACTGAGTGACCTTTATTTCAGAGCAGCGCAGCTAATTTCCTTTATCATCAGCAGTAAACGGGAGGTTTTGTTGCCTCTTCAGTGTCATTGTCCACTGCGTTTTTCCTACAATCCAAATGGCAGGAGAAATTTTCAATTTTGACAATGCCACTGCAGGCATCGTCTCTTTCAAGCGTTGCGGTTAGTGGAGGAAAGCGAAGGAGGAAGATAAAAGGTTGGAGAGGCGTCCTGAAGCAGAGATGGTATCGGGGCTTTTCCTAGGATCTGTGCTGAGAGGGGCGGACGAGGATCAGCAAGCCGCTGATGAAGACGTCTCTTCCAGCAGGAAAGAATGGCCTCACATTCACTTTAATTAGAGCTTGTGCCAAGCATTCACACATAAAACAAGGCGGGAAAAAAAAAAAGAAGTCTTTCATGTGTTGTAAAAAGGTTCAACATTCAACGTGGTACTATGCCGATGCAGTTTAAGCACATTTTCTTTTGATTATCACAGCAGTGTTTTCTAATTATACTTAAAAGAAAAACAGCAGAGACAAAAAAATAAATAACTCACCTCAGCCTGACATCCACATCCATTAACACAATCATTAAAAGAAACAGGGTGGATAATAATCACCCTTCCACAGACGCAAATCTCTCGTGACACCGAGTTCAACAATCTTCAGTTGGCCACAGATAAATAATAAAACAAAGCCGGGACGCCTCAGACTGCTGGAAAATGTTTTAATGGGTTAATGCAGGCATTCTTGCAGACAACAACTTCATCTTTTTTGCTTCCAAACAAAGTTTCAACATCTCAACGTGACGCTGAATGATGAGCAATATCATGTAAAAATGATGCTACTCTTTAAATTTACAAAATCCTCTGAAGTGTCTGTCACACCACACTACATACAAGACGGACCGAATAAACATGACAACCCCCCATTCAAACACAGAATAACATTGCCAGTAGAAGTGATGCTCAGCATCCTACAGATATCCAAGCATGTTAGAGGAGATTTTTGCACATACTCAATTCATTTAATTCTGCACAAATATGTCAGATAATTGCAGAAAATAAATTGTTAAAAACAAAATTGGTACTTGGACACTTTCTTTTGACAATAACATGACCATGCATTAGTCTCTCCACTTTTAGTTAACCACAATATATTGAGAATATATAATATTTGCAAGTTGGCGATACTAAAGAAACAAATTCTCAAAATTTAATCTATAACAGTTCACAGACGTATGATCTGGAATATGTCATTCCAATGGGAGACTGAGTAAATACTTCCATATACTTCCAATGTTTTAATATATTAGGGCCAAAGTACAGACACTTTGATGTCTTACATGTTTTACAAGGATTGACACTGGGTCTTCATAATGGCAGATTACTATTTTCCCCCACAAATACGCAATTAGAACAGACTTTCTTGTACATTGGTCTTCTGAAGATGGTTCAACTGTCATTTACATAGAAATGGTGCCATCAATATGGGGCATACGCATCTTTTAAAAAGTGTAAAGAACTGACCTTGCACTGAAAGTGTTCATGCTTTTTAATGTCTAGTCACAAAACGGGCTAAACATTACAAATATATAATATTTCCCATTTAGTTAAACCTTTGTTACGTTCCTATAGAACTCCATATCAAAATGACTATTCATGGGAACTAGTGCAACCTGGAGGAGGCCTGGTCTTTGTGACAAGGCAGGCACAGAGTAAAATAGACAAAGTACTCTAGAGCAGCTCCAGAGCAATGGCAGATATATTAAGGCCATTTTGAAAATTACAGGAAAAAAAACTGTAGCAGACAGCTTGGCTTGCTACCCGGCCTGAACCGAATTCAGTTGGGGCAGCAAAGCAAGCAAGCAACACCGATTGAACCAATTTTTTTCCAATCCATTGATGTCAGTCTTCCACGTGCCAGCCTCCCCACACTCCTGGCCAGAAAGCTCCACTCTTCGTTATTCAAGTGTGTTCAGTTTTGGTGGAAATAAGAGTGGTACCCTCACTAGTCCTTCCTTTGTAAACCCATGCTTCACACCTCCAGTAAAGTCTCGGGGCACAGTCGGGCAGTCAGGACTGTTTTAGACGCTTCCTGGGAAGACCAAAGGGTGGGCACTGCGCTGAAGCCAGGGCACGGAAGGCTTCGGCTACCAAGTGAGGATGGGACTGGATCATTGACTTCCAGCCTGCAGTCTCCATTATGTCTGTAGCATGACTGTAAGCACAGGCAGAATGAAGTTAACACTCACACATGATCATCTGCACATTAAAAATCAATAAACAGAAATGAGATTGTAATGACAAAGCAAATAAGGGGGGATTTGATTTGTGGGTTGCACGGCAAACTTGAAAAGGGTCATTAGAGCTTTTCCCGTGCACGTGCATAAACAGCATAAAGAGCGAGCGCGGGATGGGAAAGCCTTCACGCTGCGAACACGACGGCCGTAAATAAGTTCAACGTCTCAAGGTGTCCTGTAGCACCGCACTGCATCAGCTGGGAGAAAAACTTCCCGTAGCGACCACCTCCCTTCTCTTTAAAATTCTACAAATATTCCATTTCCAGGGTTTATCCAAGTATGAGTCTATTAATAACTTGGATACAAAGATATGGAGCTTCAAACTGAAAAGGCAAATAGCACTCTGTCTGCCCGGGCTAAAACAATGAATTCTAATGCATCTGGTTGGGGGGAGAGATAAGAGTGTGTTATTAATCTTGTGTCACATATATCAGCTAATTACATACTTGCTATTCCAGTTCTTTCCATCTTTACAGCCCAGCTGTCTCAGGACACTGCACCTATGGCAAGGAGATAAAAAGGTAAGCATTCAGGGCTGGTAAACAGAAATGGCAGCAGGAATTTATCACTGGAGTTTTTTTTTTTCTCCTTTTTTTTCTTTTTGCGATACTTGCCTGTTGATAAAATCTATGGCTTGTGCTTTGAGCTGCTCGGCACTGTGCAAGTCAGCCAGGATGAGGGTGTCGGCCACATTCTCCACTGAAAGGCTGTTGCACAAGGCCTCTTCACACATGACCTTTAAGCGCTCCAGAGCGTACTGGGGTGGAGGTGAGAGGGGGAGAGCAGCGGTTACAGTCTGGACGTAAAGTCAATCCTCTCAGCTTCTGTCTCAACTCTTCCAAACACCAAGCTACCGGAGCAATCGCTTACTAAAACTCATAATGATTACATCTCCTCTGGGAATAGAGGAGAGAAAAAAAACAAGGCAAACAGGATCCAAAATGTTCAATCAGTTTAAGGAGACGAGCCGGACCGGCACTCGGCACCACGGCGCTGGTGTTCCCAGGGGTGATGTCATCATTAGGATATGCGACGGATCACTTAAAAGAACCAATAAAGAACCAATCGAGGTCGTCCCTCAATATACTTTAACTATTCAGTTAAGACTCATCCATCAAAACAATGATGGTGATAGAGTTTGTTCAGCCTATAGATGAGGGATCCAAGCGGTGAATCGACAGAAGATTTAGATTATAAGAGATAAATCAGCGTCCCAAACTGAAATACTAGAAATCTGCATCCGTCTATTGCCTTGCTGCTCCACTATGCTGTTATAAAAACAACACAACGCCTAAAATAAGCTTCCTTGATCATAAGGTTCATATTTTTACTAATTAAATGATATCTCAGCCACACAGTAACATTTCCATATCAACTATTATCAGTGGCTCAGGCTATGATAGAAGAGAAACTGCGTCACAAACGGCCTCCTCGATGGCTGCTGTTCCCTGAAATCAGCAATCTGAAGGGCTGTATCACTCAGATTTATAGCTGCTGTGTTTGTGCAGTCCATCTACGAGCATGTTCTAAAAATGTGGCGAGCTTGGAGGGACTGGAATAAACAAAACAATGAACGACTATCAATACTGAAATCATGTCACATTAGATGCAGGCTAACAGCTGCATAATTACAGAACAGACCGCATTAGGCCTTAAGCCTCATTGACTTACATACAGCGCTATCTCTGCACTCAGTGAGCAGTTGGAGGCTCCAAACGCTGAAGCAAGGTACATTACTGTCCACTGCTAATAACTGTTCCAGCGTTTAAGTGACCGGCGTCGTTACCAGCTCCGTGTCATACCTCGCAGCAACGTTTAAACGTCTAACAGTCCTGAATGAAATGTAAAAATCAAGTCGCTCCATGTTTAAATTACAAATAGAACATTTACATTTGTGCCCAATTAATTAACGAATATCTGCTTAAATAAAGGAGAGTATAAACGAAGCAGCTGAAGGTTGAACAAACGTTAGCCTGACTACTCGGATACATACTTTATCTGCAGCTGCCAGCAAATTGTCCGCCATCTTCTCCAGGTTCGGGGCTTTCCCTGTGTAGATGAAGCCCATCATTTCCTTAAAAACATCTGGATCCACATCACTGATGTCAACACGGTTCTGCAAA